GTTACAATTTTTCGAAAACTGTGCAGTTGAAATTGACTCAAAATAACTTAAGTCATCTAATTTATCAGATTGAAATATTATTCATGAACTCTTTTTTAGAATTCCGTATTTCAGTTGAGGGTATGACGCTGGGTAATGTGCTTAAGGAATACTTCTCGAAGGTTCGCTTACGCGTCCGCAGCGATAGGCAAGTATTCAGAATGGCTCCTGATTCGACCTTCGACGTGACTTGTTCAATTGATGATAAAAACATGTCGTGGACTTGCATGGCCCACTTCAAGGATGCAGTGATGCAAATGCGTTATCGCTATGTGAGCCAGTTTTAAAATATTTTTATCATGGTCGGCTTGGTGGTTCATAAACAAGCTGCAATATAATTCTGTTTTGCTAAGCTAGTTGATCGTCAACGCGATAAGCCAACAGCAAACAAACAAACCCCTACGGCGACACCAGGGCTGATACCAGGACACGGAGAACTGTTTGATCATACAATTCGATCTAAAATAACCCTGTACATCCTAGAAAACTGGAATAAGCCAAATAATGCCTCCATCGAAAAACATGTCTAGGCTTTTCATGTGAAAACTGATTTATTGTAATGCCTGAAACCAGGATTTCCTTTCATTGCTGCTGAGTCTGCCTTAAGGTCGCGATTTTTAGAAAAAAAGTTACAGCTAAGCATTCCGTTCTATTTCTTAGCCGTTGTTTTTAGAGCAATGTGTGTGTGCACGATTAAGTAGGTATTTAGGAGCTAACTGATGTATGCTATAGCAAAAAATACCAAGAAATGCACGCAAGGACTAGACTGTTATACTCTTGTCATTCAAATCGGACCCTTAGTAGAGACTGCATACTTATTTATACCTGCTATGCGTTTAAAATAATCTGGCTGATCCCACTTTAACTTACACATTGCGAAATCAGTTTTTTTTCTGAAAAACACGATGATGTTCTTTTTTTGCCCTGGGCGTACTGTGCTTAAAACATTGATTCCAGAATACCACCAGAGTCTACTAGCGCCGCTGTGTAAATCTCTAATTTATCTTTTGTATCCTTAGTGCACTGCCCTCTTAAGTCTTTGTGAGAATAATGCCAGCGCAATCTTTTCATGCCGCTCTCGAGATCCCTACTTTTTGTTTTGCCGAAATAAAGTGCCTCTGACGTAGGCTTGTGTTGATTACCATTGACTGTAATCGTTCTTTTTTAGGATACTGGAGTGACCTGGGTGCAGAGACCACTCAATGAAAAGACTTACAACATATCAGGAAAATTTGAGTTGTGCGAATTCAAGGACAACAACATTGGCAAATTGCAAATAAAGCATATAATGCTTATAAACACAAGCACACTTTACGAGCTAGGTACTGAAGACCCAATAGGTCCTATGATTGTCCGTGCCCTGCGTAATATACTTTCAAAAGGACCAACACTTGTTTGTGGCTAACTCATTCAGAAAAACACCTCCCGACTTCAACCCTCTTAGCCGTATCTCGTTCCCTGTGACAATAAATCTTTCAATTAGTTTATTTTGCAGTATTTACGTGGTTTGACAGATTTTATAGTACACTCTAGTGTTCACTTGCAGTCACGCATAGGGTGTCAGGCATCATTTATAATAGGTACATCAAAACCTACATTATACAATTGTAAATAGATGAGCAAGTTAGTAAGTTGGGGATTCCTTCCTCTCGGAATATGGAAACTACTTTACCAACGGGATAAATAGTGTCGTGCATTTATATCATTGCGGCGTTTCTCCATGAAGTTGCTCAATATTGAAGCTGAAACAGTTAGCCTACGAGGGTATATTAGTCTGCTATTTGTGGGGGCATAGTTATTATTCAAGAAATCAGTCTACTCAGAAGTCACAAACTCCACCTCGATAAACTTTGCGCTTGGTGTGAGCAGCAGTAGCCTTGACCCCTATATATATATATTTGTGCAGGCAGAGGAGCATTACCTAGGAACCATGTCCTTACTCATTATTTGTCATCGGCCAGCCATCCCCAACTGCAGCTGTTCAAACACCGGATGATCAAACCCACGCCCACTTTTTAAAGTACTATACCCTAAACCCTGAGTCAGAGACCCGTCCTCGTTAGAGTTTGCGGCAAAGGTAATTTAATTTAGTCACCTCATCTACATGATGATGATGATGAATAGAACTTTATTTTGATGGTAATTTCAAACTTTCAGCAAACAAATGGCTCCATTCACGGAGAGCAAGAACTAAAGTAAATAAAGGGGTCCAAAAACTAAAGAGTAAACGGTCAAAGATCACAAAAAACTCAAAGTAAGAAGTCGACAGGGTTACCACATCAGTTATGGAGTCAGGTCGGCCTTCAGCTTCTCAATTTCCGTTTCTTCACACGTGAGGAAGCGTGCTAAGTATAGGAGTATCAAGTTCTGTTAGGCCGATGTACGCCATGTCATATGTCGGAAGTTTCGGCGCGTCGTAAGTTCGGAGTGGAGAGGGTGAGCGTCCTCACTAAAAATACGGTCCACGAAATTCTTGACCGATTTGAAATGTCGCTG